ATTTTTAGTTGTTGTAATTGAGCGGTATATGATCTATCGCCATTCTGGAGCGATGTCGCATGAAAAGTGATAGTGAGAGGCTTTTTGTAGAGTTTCCCACAGATAGCGCCAAAGTGTAAGTGCAAAAATTTAACACCAGAACACTTAAAAATAAAATTAAAAAATTATAGCAAAGGAAGCGTGAGGGAATTGAAACAAGCTTAATAGAAGAAATATAGACAGATGTAATCGATGCCTTTTCTCTTCTCATTGATCTCTTATTTATATGTTCATACAGAGCCTTTCTTGGGGTCGTTGTTAACGATTTTGGATGTGGGACCGGACTCAAAAAAAAATTTCAAAGAACTTAACTCCTTTCTTTTTCCATTTCACTTTTAGTGTTTGTTTGGGTTTGTGATTAATGGAAGTTGGAAGGCGGTCAGATGATACTTCATTAGATAATTATTTTTTAGTTAAACTTATTCGAGTTTCCTTTGAAGTCACAAAGAGTTTTAATGAATAAAGATTGAATCCTTGAATGAAAATACATCAATCAAGGTACCTATTATGTCACTAGACCTTTTTAATGTATAAAGATTGAATCTTTAAAATAAAATGAAACTTTTGAGTTAAACTTATTCGAGTTCCCTTTGACGTCACGAATAGTGTTTTAATGAAAATACTTCAATCAAGGTACCTTTTAAGTTCGTAGACCTTTTTAATGTATAAGGATTAAATCTTTGAAAGAAAAAGAGAGTTTTGAGTTAAGTTTATTTGAATTTCCTTTGAAGTCACGAAGAGTGTTTTAATAAGTAAAGATTGAATTTTTGAATAAAAATACCTCAATCAAGATATCTTTTAAGTCACTAGACCTTTTTAATGTATAAAGATTGAATCCTTGATAGAAAATGAGATTTTTTAGTTAAACTTATTTGAGTTTCCTTCGAAGTCACAAAGAGTTTTAATAAAGATTGAATCTTTGAATGAAAATACCTCAATTAAGGTACCTATTATGTCACTATACCTTTTAATGTATAAAGATTGAATCTTTGAAAGAAAATAAGAGTTTTGAGTTAAACTTATTCGAGTTCCCTTTGAAGTCACGTTTTAGTTCCTTATTTTCTGCGATTTCTCTTTATGACTGGCGTTATGGGATGTTGAATGCATTTGTCCTGGGCCACGTTCTTTAGTTTGGGCTAACTTGAATTTTTGGTGTCTTTTTTGTTGGGCTCTTGGCTGCATTGGGCTTTTGGGCCAGTCATTCCAACGATGGGCCTTTCTTATTTTACGGATGTGTGGTGTGTTGTGATTGGTGGAAAAATTTCCCTCCACACGGAGTGACTGCTTTAGACCATACAACGCCTTTTTCAATTTACATACTTCAGTTCTACACGAGGATTTGCATTTAGCTCCAAGGGGTAACTCCATATAGACTTTTCCCTCTAAATCTCAATTAAGGAAATCATTATTGACGTTGAATTGTTGCAAAGGCCAATCTTGATTTGCTGCTATGGATATAAGAATGTGGATGGTATTAATTTTGGCAACTAGAGCAAAAGTCGCTTGATAATCCACTCCGTACTGCTGTGTATATCCCTTCGCATATCCCTTCGCAACTAACCTTGCTTTGTATCTATCAATACTGCCATCAGACTTCAGTTTCACTATGAACACCCATCTACACCCAATCGTCTTCTTCCCTTTGGGTAATGGACAAATTCCCAAGTGTTATTCCTTTAAAGAGCCTCCATTTCTTCATTCATTACCCTAGTCCACTTTGGATCTGCTAATGCATCCTGCACACTACTAGGAATAGACACAGTGGACAATTGATTAATAGAAAATATATACGATTCTGACAAACTATGGGGGGAAAATAATTACTAATTGGGTACTTAGCCTTGGCTTTGGGATCGAGTTCATATTGTTTCTTTGGTACTCCCCTATTTGACATCTATTGATATTTATTGGTTACATTTTCTTTATGGACAGGAAATTCATTAGGTTCATTAAGAATGGGATTTGAGGTTACCTGAGGAAGAACATTCTAGGTTGATCCTTTGGTTAATGGTGTAGATGTGGGTAACTTCGGAAATACAGGGGGGTCATTGCGGGAAATACATAGATATATGCACAATTTTGGGTCAGCGCCGCGGACTTGACTAGTGGTCGCTGCGATGCTCGGCTTGTTTCCTCAAAAACTTCAAAACATCCCCTATTTTCCTCCAATTTGAATAATTTCTTTCCACCATCTTTATTCTCTTCACTATGACTCTCCCCCTGAAGAGAAGACCCATAAACTCCTCTTAAATAGTACGATTCTAATTCACGAAACGACGCATCTAAGGTCACATGTAACTTTCGAGTTTGAGGATCATAACATCGATATCCTTTCTAAAACTCCAGTTAACCTACAAAGACACACCGTTTCATACACGGATCAAGTTTACTCCGCATGACTTTAAGCATGTGAACATAGACCGTATGTCCAAATACTTGTGGTTCAAGTTTCAGGAGATGAGGAATGGAAAACAATGATTGTATCTTTTGTTAGGGAGTTTGGAACTCTATCACACTAATGGTGTTCGGTTGATTAAATAAGTAGCCGATTTCACTACCTCACCCCAATAGAACTTCGGCATATTCATGCCAAAGAGGGAGTCCTGAACTATTTCCATAATTTGTTTATTCTTTCGCCCTACCAGTCCATTTTGCTGTGGAGTATAGGTGTAGGAGGTTTGATGTCGGATTCCATGGTGGCCTAAGAAAACACCTAAAATCTTATCCACAAACTCTTTACCATTGTCAGATTAAAGTATGCGAATTTGCCTTTGGTATTGAGTTGTCACCATATTATGAAATTCAATGTTGTACCTGCATCACTCTTACTTCGAATAAGAGATATCTAAGTCATTCAAGTATATTCATTAATAAACGTAACAAAATAACAAGCATTAGAAAGTGAAGGAATTTTTTCAGGACCCCAAACATGCATCTGAGTGAATAATCGCAAAAGGTTCTAAACTTTTATGCAAACTTGGTAAATAAGAAGTACGATGGCTTTTGGTTAGTTCACAAATTTCACAATGAAAGTTTAAATCACTTAAACACAAAAATAAATGCAGTTGTAACTTCTTAAGATAACCAAAAGAAAGATGCCCTAGCTGTAGGTGCCATAACTATACGATTGCTTGAGCTTTATCTTTACTACTTATTTGATTCGCTTGACTGAACTTTGACCCCCCTTTTTCCATCAACTCCAAAGAATAAAGTTTGCCCCATCTAACACCATAACCAAGATTCTTCCGGGTTAAAATGTCCTGCAAAACACAAAAAGAAGGCCAAAAAGTTACAATGCATGCAAAGGTAGAGGTAATTTGGCTAACAGAAAGAAGGTTATATTCAAGGGATGGAATAATAAGAACAGTATCTAAAGTGAGATAATCGGACAAAGTAACAGACCCCTCCCCAGTAATAGGAGAGGTACTACCATTAACTATGGAAATAACTGACTGAGAAGGAGGATTAAAAGATTTTAACTGACCAAAGTCCTTAGTCATATGATCCAATGCACCTGTATCAATAATCCAAGCACTATTCTTAGATATCATAGAGAGTACAGAAGCTTTACCAAGTATACCCGGGTGAACAACATTTGCCGTTGGTTGCACTTGTTCCTCTTCCGTAAAAGTCACCATGGCTTTTCCTCCAATATTCTTCCGAGGCTTCTTCGTAAAAGCCCACCAGTCAAGATAGCCAATAATCTTATAGCATTGTTGTTTCGAATGGCATGATTCACCATAATGAGTACATACTCGCCTCAAGATTTTCCAGTACCCTGATTACTCCTATTTTTGAGTTTGGTTAGCTATCATCGTCAAGCTCTCAAAGATTGGATGAGATCTTCCCATCTTTTGCTTCTGCTAATACTCTCTCCGGAGATATACATACGCAATATCGAGTTCAAGCTTTGGATCTTTTCGCAAGATTTTTCCACGAACGTGTTCAAACTCAGAGTCAAATTCGCTTAGAAAAATATGAACTCGAAGCCTCGCCATGGTCGAGTGCAATTGAACCACTCCTTCAACTATTCCTGCCTATGACATAGTCCTATGATCAATCTCCTGAAAAATAGCAACAAGTTCATTATAGTATGTTGGCAGAGGGTGGCCATTCTGCTTTGTAGAAAAAGACCTCTGATTCAATTAAAAAATACACGTTTCATCCGATTCGTCATAGAAGGTTCTAGACACCGCCTCCCATATCTCCTTAGCTGTAGGAAGACGAATAAATTACTGTATCCATGATGGGCTCTTCTAGTCAATGAGCCAACTCTTGATTCAATGATTTTTGGTTGTCCATGCCTCCAATTTCGGATCTCTAGGTGCGGGTTTTGTCGCTTCTTCGGTGAGATACCCAGCCTTGTTACGAGTGCCAATCCGCATCTCCATAAGTTGAGACCATAATGAGTAATTAGTCTCATCTAGTATAATTCCAATTGGAAATGTAGAATTGTCTTTGCGGACTATGATCTGCGGTGCCGGAGTCGGGGTTGGTACGCTAGTTGCGCCTGAAGTAATCGTCATTTAGACCAACAACAGGAATAAAATTTGAAATACAATATTATGAATTCTTAGACTGACTCTGATACCATATTAAGAATATAAAAGAGAGAAACTGTATATTGTATTGATATATGAAATATGAGATACACAACGATTTATATAAGCGACGAGATGTGTGAAGGGCAAAAAAGTAAACAAATTACACAAATATATTAGGAAATATAGTTCATGCGTGTCCACACACACACACAACACAACACATTAACAAGTGAGACAAAGAAGCGGGTGGGTTACCAAATGTAACGGGGTTGGAATAAAATTAAATACGCATACCTGTGGTGTCGGCCAAGGGAGTCGAAGGAAAGAATTCGCCGCTAGCAGTGAGAGAGAGCGCACTTGAAAACGAAGTCCCACCATCAATTGTGTCTGTTACGTTTTGTTTAAGAAAAGTAGTCACTCACTCCTACCGAATTAATTAAGAAAATTCAATCCTCTCCATATTCTTCTACTTCTAGTAACATTTTGGCTTCCCATCGTCGTCGTCCACCTCCTCCCCATTCCTCTTTCTCACCCCTACACATTCTTCACTCCAACATCAAAATTATTCACACATTTGCTACATCAACATCCGCTCACTTACTCAGCTTCTCTCTCTATATATATACATATATATACACACACACATACACCCATACAAAATATATATGTTTAGAAGACGAAGAAGAAGATGTCAGCTTCGCAAACCCTAGGCGGCCCCTCCCGCTGTGGTTCCGTTTTGGGGCCATCGCTCGACAAGATCATCAAGAACGTTGCCTGGAGAAAGCATTCCCAGCTCGTCGCCGCCTGCAAATCTGCACTCGACAAGCTCCAAACCCTCTCCGATTCCTCCCCCGACGATCCCTCCTCCCCTTTGTACGCTGTGTCTCTATCTGATGCCGAATTCTTCCTTCAACCCCTCCTTCTCGCCCTCAATTCTGGATCTGCCAAGGTCATTGAGCCTGCCCTCGACTGCCTCTTCAGATTGTTCTCCTCCGCCCTCATCCGCTGTGAAATCGATCGTGCCGATAACTCCCTCCTCTTCCGCCTTGTGGAAGCTGCCTGCAAGTGTTCCAGTCTGGGCGAAGACAACCTCGAGCTTGCTGTACTCAAACTCTTACTTTCTGCTGTTAGATCCCCGTTCGTGTTGATCAGGGGTGATTACTTGGTACACATTGTTAGGACTTGTTACAATGTCTATCTTGGTGGCTTGAATGGAACCAATCAGATCTGCGCAAAGGCAGTTCTTGCTCAGATGATGATTATTGTTTTTACCAGGGTTGAGGAGGACTCCATGATGGTTAAATTTAACAAGGTTTCTGTTTCAGATTTGTTGGAGTTTGCCGATAGGAACTTGAATGAAGGGAGCTCCATACAATTTGTACAGAACATTATTAATGAGGTTGTGGAAGTAAATGAATCAGTTTTGGATTCAAAACCAACTCTAGTGTTGCAAAATGGGAATGGGAATCTTCCGGGGGCAAACATACATCGAAAAGCTGAATTGGGCGATGGGGAGTCGAGCGATGGTGCCAGCTCCACTTCTAGTGCTGGCAGTAAGATTAGGGAAGATGGGTTTATGCTTTTCAAAAATTTGTGTAAATTATCAATGAAATTCTCATCACAGGAGCATTCCGAGGATCATATCCTTCTCAGGGGAAAGATATTGTCTTTGGAGCTGCTAAAGGTAATCATGGACAATGGGGGTCCGATTTGGCGCACTAATGAGAGGCAAGTGACAGTTTTCCTACTCATTATCTCTTGTTGACTTCCTCTTTTGAGTTGAATGTTTATTATGCCAAATGTAGCTAGGGGTTCTTTTTCCTTTTGTATCTTAGGTCATTCAATGGGTTTATTGTGATTATGTAAATCTAAAATTAATGGCTAGAAACAAAGGAAGAAAAACTGAGAATAGACTAAATAATGAGAAGTTGAGTGATTTAAGTGATGTTTTGATAAAAGGAATAATTGTTTTTAAAATTAACGATGTTGAATCGGGATGTCTGACTCTGTTGCCGCCCTACAGAATTTTCTTCAGTTTGATGAGTAAATGTTGATTGAACAGAATAGAAATTTTAAAGCATTTTCTGTGCAGTTATCACACTCACACTATGGATGTTGCTATCTTCATTCTGCCCCTCATTACATATACATGAATCAATATAAGAAAAAAATTGTTCCCTTGGACCATATTAGAAAAACTATAGAGGTTACAGATACTAATGGCTAAGGAATCCCATTAGTCAGCTACTATGTGATTTCTGATAAATAGGTGAAACTAAGTAACTTTCAATCTTTCATAATAAATCCCGTAACTATTAGGGATGGCAAAATTTGACACAACCCGCCAACACGACTCGAACACGACACGAGTTAAGCATGTTTGTATTGACCTTAAACGGGTTCGGGTCGTAAACGGGTTAACACGATTAATCTGTTTAGTTAATCGTTTCGTGTTTGGGTTGAGGAGTTCAATCCATGTAACCCGTTTATACTCATTTGTCATAAAAATTTTTATATTTAAGTTCCAAAATAACTATCTAAACTTGTGCGTTGTAATTTACTCTTTTGTAAACTAGAGACTATTTAGTAATTTGGTTGGATTGAAACTTATATTTTTTTAGTATTTATCGTTTAAATGAGTATTATTAATAATTTAAGTAATATAATGTTTTATTTTAGTATATAGGTCATTAAACGTGTTATACGTGTAACCTGTTTAATAAACAGGTTAGGTTAGTATTGAGAGTTACTGACACGAATATTAAACGGGTTGTGTTTGGGTTGAACTATTTAGTAGAATACCACGATTATGACTCGCGAACATGAATTGCCACTCTCAGTAACTATCAAACAAAATAAAAAATTACTCATATGCACACACAGACATACACTAAAGTTAGGTTAGAGGTTAATAAGCTGCCATTGTTAGTTCTAGCAATTAATCCATCAATGAAATCCATAGTTATTAAAGGCTTTAAGTGCACTATTCAAGTTGAGAATAAGCTACAATTTTGAACTACCTTCCCTAGCATCTGCATTCTTAAAGACTTCTATTAATTTTTTACCGATTGAAGCTTTTGGAGTGAAGACAACATATTCTCCTAAGTTGGTAAGTTTATCCAAGTGTCTTTTATTTTTTATTTATTAATTTTTTGATAAGTAAAATTTCATTGGGGAGAGGCAGTTGCACAAAAAGCCCAAAAGGCTCACTAAATGCTCAAACTATCAACAAAATCCCTATAATAATCAAGAGATTTACAATTTCTCTTCTTAACCCAAAATAATAATGTACTCAAAATAGAATACTTTAAAGCCCAAATAGGAGATTACATCCTTCAAAAGATCGTCTGCTTCGGTCCGACCACAAGCCCCTCCAAACGAAAAGGGGAGTGCCCTCTAAGCATCACGGGCTTGCAACCAAAGACACACCAAAAATGGCAAAGGACAAGGACCAAACATCCTGAGCCACTGGGCAATGCAAAAGGAGATGATTCACAGACTCCTCATCTCTTTTGTACATGCAACACCTATTCACTACAATCAAGCGTCTCTTCCTCAGGTTGTCAATCATCAAAATTCTTCCCAAAATTGATGTCTGCACAAAGAACACAACTTCCAAGGAAACTAGTTCCCCCAACGCCAACTAGTCTCCTATCCAATGATCTCACCCCAAACATCCCATGGTGTGGACCCACCCAGCTCCACTTATCAGGGCACTCCTCTTTCACTCTCTGGTTGTACAACAGAGCCAAGAGATTGACAACCTCCTCCAACTCCCAATCTTGGAAGTGCATCTCAAAGCGCACATCCCAAGTCACTCTACCACTAACAAGCCAATAACAGTCAGCAATTGAAGTGAGCCTGTCCGCTGTAATCCTGAAAATTCTCGGACAAAAGCAAGCAAGAGACTCCTCTCCACACTTTGCGTCCAAACCGAACCATCCTCCCACTCCGCACCCTGAATTGGATGTGTTTTGAAAACTCATTCCATCCCTTCAGAATGAATTTCGAAACCCCTACCCCCGCCTACATGGTCACCTCCATCGATGTCCAACCACCCCACTCCTCCCCAATTCTGGTAGAAATAACCCTCTGCCATAGACTAGCTCTTTACATCAAGTTTCTTGGTTTAAAAAGATGCAAGTACTTCTTAAGTAGAAGGTTCCTACACTGATTACCTAACCAGAACTTCACATTCTCATTGTTCCAAGTTAAACTTCAATTGTTTGAAGAAAATGTATACCCTCAAGGAAAATTGCATGGACACGACCTACCCTATAAGTCCTAAATTGATGAATTCTTTGAGCTCCCTATCCGACCATACTTCATAATAGGCACCTTCTTTTACTAACAACTATTCTAAACTGTCAATCTCTCACAACAATTTGCCTGCATGAGTTTCTTTAGCACAAGATGTAGTCTAAGCAAACCAACCTTTTAGGGGGTCGGAATAAAATTCCCATCAATGAAGTAAATGTATCTCCTCGAACATGCCAAATGAAGTCTCTTGGAAGCTTATCCAATTTTATGGCGGCTGAGGAAATCAAAATCTAAAAATAAAGTCGAGATACTTTTAATATTGAAGTGTATTTTCGATAAATGTTAAATTTTCTTCCTCGAAAAGCCAACTTCTTTTCAACCACACGGTGTCCTTCAATTTCGCAATGGCTCAATCCTACACTTCTTTTGACTTGAAAGAAGATTCCTGAATCAACCCAATACTACTAGGAGGAGAAGAACTCATTGTTGTGCTGAGATTAACTGAGAGAGTATCCATCTTAATGTTCTCTACTGGCACAATTTCACTCTTACATAATTTTACTGATGGGCCACTGGAGCTTAAAACAAAGAAGATCCCGTCAAGAAAAAGATAATAGTCTCTATTGGACACGATTCTCAAAAAACCCCAGAATCTTTAGCTTCCTTTCCTCCCCTTAACTACAAAGCCTTCTAACATATTTTCATTGTAAGGCTTTTCAATCAAGTTACTAAAGGCTTCCATTGCAATAATAAATAGCAAAGTGAAGGTTATTAAGATATAAAGGAAAATCAAAGGATATAATGGACCTTGGGGCTCCTAGATTCTTGAAAAGACCATAATCTTTCATTAATTGTAACTGATAATGTAGTGGAGGAGGGACACAATGTATTCACTTTCTCCAATTATTTATAAAATTCATCCTTTGCACAAATAAAGTAGGAACTTTCAGTTCAAGCCTCAATCAAACATTTGGAAGACCTGGCAATAACCCATTGATACACGAACAAACCTAACATCAAAATCCAGCAATCCCGTGCCACTGGGCAATGCAAAAGAAGGTGATCAACCGTTTCCTCATCATTCTTGAACATACAACACCAATTAACCACTACCTGTGTCCTTCGCCTAAGGTTATCATGGGTCAAAATCTTCCCTAAGATGGATGTCCATGCAAAAAATGCCACTTTGAGAGGAGCCTTCGAACGCCAAATAGCCCTCCATGGAAAAAGGGGTGTCGGAGTATCTGAAAGACACCTATAAAGAGACCGTACATCAAAGCGCCTGAGGAGAGGGAAGCCACACCCAAGAGTCAGTAACATCTCCCATAATCTCCTGGCGAGGGAGTTGTTTGATGTGTGGAGAGGTTGCAGCATTGGGGCCCACGCCCGTGACTTTTGGAGGGCGACCCCTCTTGCGTTTGGTGGTGCATTTGGAAGGAGTGGAATAGAAGATCTTTAGAAGGGGAGGAATCTTTTTTCTTTTTGATAAGTAATAATGAATTAAAAAAGGCGTTCAAAAGGGGAACGCGTCCCAAAGACAATAGTGGAACTGGGGGCTAAGGCCCCAAAGAATCCAAAAAAGTAATTAAATCAACAGAAGAGGAGCATGAACTCCTCTTCACATAACTAAAGAGAGAACGAATAATAAAAAAAGTATCAACGTCGTCGTAGACGACTCCGAAGGGGAGGAATCTTCTTGGGACCTTGAAATATGTTATTATTAGTTCTCTTTTTAGTTGGGTGATGGGGAGTGTTAAGAGATTATTAGTTCTCTTTTTATAGGATGGTTGTGGTGAAGCATGCGGTGGTGGCAGATTATTTTAGGTTAGAGAATGGGAGAGTTAGTTGGGATGTGAGATTTCGCAGAAATTTTAATGATTGGGAATTGTTGGAGTTTACTAATTTAATGGGATTAATTTATAGTCAAGTGGTGGAGGGGTAAGGAAGGGATGGGATGGTGTGGAAGGGGGATTCTAGAGGGGTGTTTAAGGTGAGGTGTTTTTTTTTTTGGATGAGTGTTTAAGGTGAGGTTGTTTTATAAATGCCTTATGAATCCGATGAGTAACGGGTTTCCTTGGAAGGCTGTTTGGAGGACTTTAGCTCCACTAAAGGTGGCTTTTTTCACGTGGACAGCCCTCCAATAGGCACGAGCATGAGCCCCCACCCTTTGGCCCCTCCATACGTCAATCAAATCCCCTAAAGTCCGGGGCATAACCCATTGGATGCCAAACATACCCTAAATAAGACTCCAACAGTCATGAGCCACGAGACAACACTGGTTGACTATGATTTGTCTTCTCTTTCACAGACTCTCCATCATTCTTACACAGACAACACCGGTTGACTATGATTTGTCTTCTCTTTCTCAAATTGTCCAAAGTCAAAATCCTGCCTTAAGCTGCAGTCCAAACAAAAAAGGCCACCCTAAGAGGAGCCTTCGATTGCCAAACCGTTTTCCATGGGAAAAT